TGTGTTATTGATATTATTGTGTATTGACCGTATAACATAAAATTATTTACTTTGTTTAAAGTATTTTAATATATTATAAGAAATAATAAACATTTTTTGTTAAACTAAATAAATGAATTACACGATGACGAATATATAAACAAAAAACTATTTGATTTATTGCAGCTTATTAGCATATTATTATTCCAAGTACCTAACAATCCAGTGATAAAGTAAGCGTTGTATTATCTAATACAATTTTTTTCCCGATCAATTTATATAAACTTCGATGTTCTTCGCAAAATTTGTTCAAAGCAATCAATCCGAATTGGCTTTTATATTTAATTAACAAGGAAAGTCACAGACAAAACAATTTAGTAATTGTTCGCGTTATAGAAACAACGTGGAAACTCTGCCATAGTTGATTACGGCTTTACACTTTTCCATAAGTCACATCGTAGACTGTAGTATGATGCTTTAACGCTGAATTCCCATTAAATTAATAAAACTAAAGTTCAATCGCAATTCACTTTACTCGGATTTGAACAGCGTGTTATTGATGAAATATGAAAATGTTTCTACAGGTACCTAATAAAAACCATTTCATAGAGTATTTGTGGAAAAGGTACTTTTCAATGCCTTTGCTTACTTTGTTTAACTTGAAAGTAAAACAAGCGCGCGTGTGTGTGGATTGTTTTATTAAAGCAAAATGTTATTAAATTTGAAGAAGTTAAACAAAATTTAAGACGTGTATTATTAATAATACTGTAAAGTGTTATTTTCTAACAATAATCGAAACTAATTCGGAATTTGTTATAACAACATATTTTATACAATACAGTAACAATTATTATTTTTAGAGGTTCACAAAGCACAAATAGAATTTTTTTTTTGTGAACTTATTGTGAAGTATGTCGTACACGAGATAAATCGGATATTATTTAAATACAAAAGGAACATTATATTATGACAAGATCAAAGTATACTGGTTACAATATTACTAATAATGTTATTTTCGTTTACCCTGAGAAAACATCAAATTAACGATCTCGCAAAATATATTTTGAACGAAAAGCGTTTCAAATAAAACTCGTTGCCTTTAAAGTCTAAGTTATATAAATACCATCAACGAACGTTATGGTTTTTTTTTTTATAGAATAACTTATTTCTTTTGCGTTTCGTAGCCTATATATTTAGTCGGCCACTCTATAAGCGGTTTCGTTGATGTCAAAGTGAAACTGCATGTTTGGACATAAGCCAAGGGACGTTTTAGGTTTTGGAACTACATTTCAACGGGTAAATTTAATATATTATGGCCCTCGTTGGTAAATCTATTAGTTTTGCACTTGAGGGTATCCATTATTTTATGACAACAATACAAGTTATGGTCAAAAGGATATTCACAATCATGGCTGTAGTTTTGGCAAAGTCGCTTTCGACTTAAACAATATTGAAAATAAAACTATCAGACAATAGAAATAAATACATGTAATAAATGTACTGTAATTCAACTAATTAATGTATAAAAGTTGATATAAGTGTTTATTAAACTACTATAAAAGCCATATTGTCTGTTTGTTTATGATACGTATGATATTTTACTACCTCCTATGTACTTATTCTACTATACTATAGTCGTTGTAAATAATCAGTAACCACTGAAGTTTCCCCAAAAAATGTTGGGGCTACATTCTACTATTTTATGATAATACAAGTATTACTGTTAACCTTAAAATAACCAACAATGAATGCTGGGTGTTTTCGGTGGTAACTTTTAATATAAGATAACGTGTTTTTGTTTATAATTATAAACGTTAAGTTGATAATTACATTATACATTAAATTGTAATTAAAATAATTATTATTATTATACACTGTACAAATCATCATTTGTATACAGTTTTATATCAATAAATCTATATTTTAATTTTATACAAAAAAAAATAAGTATCATAACATATTATAGCCAGCAAACTCCTAACTACCAATATTCAGAACTGCAGTTCTGTTCTGTTCTAAATTCCAGTTCCTGATTTTATCTAAATTATCCACAACGTGAATTTATTCTGCAATTTGGTCGGTTTGTTGGACATTTTTATTGTTGCGACCAGCTAACAGATAACAATTGAATAGTGTAGTAAATTATCGCGCTACCGTTAGATAACTCCTTCGAAAAAATAATATTAAAAGTTTTCAATTTTGATGCCAAGATTTCATATTCACACATAATTTCGAGAAAAAAAATGACGCGACAAAGGGGAAAAAAAGTAGGTAAAAACGTGAATAAAAGAGATTTTGAGAGATATGACTGAGCATGGTTTATTGGATTGGCCGGCATAAGAAACTTTAAGAGAGAGAGAGAGAGAGAAAGAAAGATAGCTTTTCTGCAGGGTCATCCATCACTGGAGAACTGGGGGACTACATTCCACATCCACATCATTCATACATATATATATATATATATATTTATGTATATAAATATAAATTCCTGTCTTCCCTGACGGAAAATCTGCGAGCGAGGGGGAAGGGGAGGCGAAATATAAAACTCGCATAGGCAAGGATATTATGTGTTTGTCCATTGCAGAGAACAAATTAAACTTGCAGAAAACACCGTTCGCAATGTTCATTAGCGGCTAATGTATTTCCAATTGTTAACAAAGTTATACTGCGAAAATCTAGTCTGGTTACTCCGGTACAAACAACTGAGCTGCATCATGTGAATTTACTCCTGTCTTTGGACATTTTAGTCATCTGTCCATTAAAGTTTATCGGCCGACGGCTTTTAAGTTTCGATGAAATTTCCAAGTCTCCAAATCTCATCAAATATTCGTCATGGTAATTCAATTGTGGCATATCGGGGACAGAGACATAAAAAAATCATTCCACATTAGCATCAAAAGGGGGATCACTACCGTTGCAAATGGTACTCTTTCCCCTTCCCCGGATTTTATAGTTTATTTAAATTTCCACAATGCCATTATACAAGCGTATGCATGAGTGTGTAAAGACTTTCGTTTTTTTATGTACAAAGTAAAAAACGTTTTATTACCAAAACTTATTATTAAAATAAAACGAAAATTGAACGGACGAATAATTATTACCAAGATATCTCGATAACATATTACAATTATTAAATACTTATATTACAAACGAATGAAGATAATATATTATAAATCAATATCCATGCATACATTGACCTCGAATAAATCACCCGTATAGTCCGGAAAGCATTTAAACTCGACTTCCGTTTGAACTGATATACCGCGCCGGCAATAAATATTAAAATAATATAATACCGTTGATAATTGGAAAATCGATTAGAATTTATTAAAAATTTTATCAAAGCGCAAATGAAAATATTTTATTGTGTTTGAGCATAATATTAGTTATATGAATAAAAAATAAAATAAAATGTTCGTTGAAAAAATGTAATATTGTTATTTACAATAATTAATATTATGATGTGTTCCAACTGGAGAAAACTGCCAAATTTTACACTAAACAACGCTGATTTTCTATAGATGTTTTGAAATCTTCCATATATTCATTTTATATAAATAAAATACACACATGTGTATAATATGTTTATATATACCATATGAACCGCTAAATACAGAAAGGGCATGTGGCCACATTTTAAACTTAATAAATTATTTTTCTGAAAATATTTAATTATACATTTCATGTTATTAAATAATAGTGCATTAGACAACATATACTTATTTTCACTAAATTACTGTACATTTTCTTTAAATAATTTAAAAAACATGTATATTATGCCTAATGCTATATTATTTAATAACATGAAATTTGTAATTACATTTTTTCAGAAATATTAAGGTTTTTGTCTCGAAAATTTAAAATCTGGACATATACCCTTTCTGTATTCAGCGATTCCTGTATAAAATGTTATACATAGGTACTTGAATCAGTGTTTTTAAACGGTCCATCCGAGATTTCATGTATTTGTTTTTGATTTAAATTAACGCCAATTGATATTGGTCGCGTATAAGCCGTTTAGTTTCACAAGATTTAAAAAACAAATTTTTCCTACCTCTATTCAAAACCCGTATTTTAAGTGATTTAACAAATTAATGTTTGTCGATGAGTCAAATAGGAAAACAATTGCTTTATCCAGATAACGTTAATGGGTTATACAAATCAGAGAAATAACGATTTTGAGTAAAAATTAACGCGAACATGGGACGGTAAAAAAAAACATTAGCTACTGGGACTTGAAAAAAAAGTATGCTGTAATAAAAAAAAATCTCGGCAACTCGTTTTTTACCCTCGGTCGAAATTATTTGTCTTGCGGCCGGGAAATCCCGTACTTATCTCGACGGCCGAGCTTAAATGTAACATCCAACACGTTAAAGTACATTTTTATTGTGCGGTATGTAATAAGCCACGTAGGTACACACGCTATATATAAATGTTTACTACGGGTGTTTCTAATTCTCGAAAACGACTAAGAGTGCTGCCCCGACAGGTCGACCGGGTCCCACTTGCTATATAATACTAGCTTTTGCGAGAATCTCCACGAGGGTAATGTGACACGGATCAATGGGACGTTACAACGCCAAAAAAAAAAAAAAACAATAATAATAATAAAAAGACTTAAACGATTTAACGAAATAAGCGGCAACTCGAATATGTACGGCACGATATGCGCCTGTGAAACGACAAAGGTCCTTTGGTATATATAAATATATATATATATGCAGTACATATATATAGACAAGAGAGATAGAGAAACGAAAATATGTCTTAAACGATAGAATTCCACGTGTCAAATGGCGTTGCACAGAATAATAAAAAAAAGCTATGCGATACCTAATTCGTTTTGTTCGGCGTCACACGCATGTCAGTTGTGTACCGAACTAAAACTAAATTGTGTTTCGGTGCAAATATATTTTTTACTATATTACAGTTAAGGGCTAAAGCCTTTCGGATTTTGTAAGTATTTTGTTATCCGTTTACCATGATATCAGATACATTGTATAATGCCATCAAAGACTCACCTGATTACAGATCTCTTCCGGTTGTTTCGTGCACGAAACGGACAAATATGATGAAACTCATAAGTTCATCGTGCACACCCAGACGGACAACCTGCAAAAAAAAAAATATAAAAATAATAGTAATAACGATAAAAAAAATTAGTAAGGGTTTGTTATTATTTTCGAAACGTATTTCAATTTTTTTTTTTTTGAACATAAACTAATAATAATGTAAAAGTGGGGGTTATATATATTTTTTTTTTTAAGAACGGTTTTTTTAAAAAGTTTCTCGAAGTTTAACTGTTTTGTTATACGACAACTAGTAAACTGGCAAAAAAAAAGCGTTGTTAAGTTTTCTCATGAATTTCATAAGCGCGCGTACAAAATTACATAAAAAACCAAACTAAATGAAGCGAATATAAAAAAAAAAAATCACAGTAGCGCAAAGAGTCAAAAACGGATAAAAAATGGTTATTGTTCACTGTGTGCCGGCCTCGAAGTGCAAATAATACACGGTCAAATAGTTCAACGGTACCGTGGCCGTATTTCCACCTCAATGGGTTTTTTTATTCTCGTTTCCAGATCCGATACGGTGTCGGTGGATCAAAATTTTATAGACGGCGACTTTTCTTAAAGGCTCAAGAGTAAAGGGGGGTGGAGAGGGGGGTTGGAAAGCTTCATACCGCTAGGGCCATGCTTTTGCATTTCGACTCGACAATAATAGCATTGAATAATATAATTGTGCACGCGACCGTGACACTACGTTGAAAATAATATAATTGGCATCTGTGCGCAAATGTAACTTGCCTAAAAAATATGTGCGACAAAATCAAACGCCCGTCTACTAAAGCCAAGTCAAAATATTTTCCAAAAAAACTAATAACCAAGGACTTGTTTGAAACGCCCTAACTGCTTTGGTACATTGAAAACATATTTTTTCCAGGAGACCTAATGCCCTAACCATCCGGCTCGGTCAGTTTATATTTGTATTCAATTAATTTAACAGGATAATCAAAGCTTAAAAATCAATACAATTTTTAGAGAAAATATAAGTTATATTGGGTACGCTTTACGGAAGGCCGTTGAAAAGTTTAAATATTTTTTTACATGCAAAATCAAATATAATCGTTTTTTTTTTTATTACCTCCAGTTGTAGTAAAAATTTATTTTATTTGGTTCTCATTGGCATTTATACTCGGTCTGCACTGATGTGTGAAAACGTGGAAACTATATTACTTATTTTTAAGATACTTATTATAAAGCGAAAAAAAACTATGGCGGTCTCAATGTAAAATGTACTTTGTGTTTCCATTATTCATAAAAATAATTTATTCGATCGCTCGAATAAGTTCATAAAGTTTTAGCAGTTCGAGGAAATGAGAGAGAAAAAAGGAAGAAAATCACGGTACATCAACTTTAAAAGGGTTCCCGCAGTACACGTTCGGCATATTAAAATATTCGGTTGCATATAAATGTGTATTATCAATATGGATGCACATATACCTTCATAGTATTATACATACTGCATACATTATATTACATACAAATGGATAAACTTTTTATCAAAGCGAAAAAGGCTCATGTGATGGGAATATGACTTCTATGAAGATATGTGCTTACAAATAAATCTGGTTAATATGTAAAACTATTGGTTAATTTCTATATATATTTATTTTTACCCGATCTTAGTTTCAGCGTTGCAAAAAATTACATTTGATTTTTTTTCAAAATACCCATAATATTTATAGTACATTTTGTGTATACAATTTTGAATCAACCTAAGTCGAAGCAACCATAGGTAGACAGCATTTTTTTTATTCATAGAAACCCGCAATGGTCATAATTGTAAGATGGATAACGTATTAAAAATGCATGGTGGACATAACAATAATTACTATAATAGTTAAATCACAATGCAATCGTTCAGTTTGGTTGAACACATATTTTTATAACACAATCTTTGTAATTATGATCAGCTGTTAGTTTGTATAAAACCACCAAACAGCAAACTATATATTAGTTCTGTGTACAGCGCTTAGGCTATTTATCTGAATTACATAATATAGCAACAAACGACTTGTGATTACATGTAGGTATACCGTACTGCGCGATACCTACTTCAGATAGCGAAATGAATAAATCAGAATTTAAGAAGATTTTTCACCGCAATCTACTACCAAAATATTGCAAATGGGAGAGACTCCGAAAATACATACATAGGTATATAATATAAACGGTAGAATGAGTAACAGTCGTTTTTCCGCACAGATAAAAAGCTATACGCTCCCCTTCCGCTTCCTACGGTAATCCGTTAAACCGTCCGAAAGTTCATTATCGATTCAAAAAAAAAAAAACCCAAACGAGGGCCGAAGGTGCATTAAAAAAAAAATCTCTGCAGGGTGACGGATAAAATGATATAGTGAGCTTATACCGACGGTGGCTTGAACGCGGCAATGTATAGCTATTATAGTCTGAGCGTCACGGCAGGGGGGGGCTTATACCGAGAAGGGCTGCAGTTTGAAAAAAGAAACTTGTGGTCGACAACACCGAGACAAGATAACTCGGAGACTGTGTGGGGAATCTATATAATATATTTATATATAGGAGGAAATGTAGATGAAACATTGAAGTCGAGTGGTTTTAATAATAATAATAATAATAAGTGAAAATAAAATAGTACATGTCATCGAATCATCCATCATATTTTAACACCAGGGTAAAGTGCAAAAGGCTAAGATGGCAAAAACAAAAATGATAAACTACTAGCGAGTGAGTGGCAGAGGAGAGAAGAAGGAGACCGGACCATTATACCGCTTTTTATTATACATGTATTTATTAGTATATATTATACATGTATTTATTATGTACACTACTGCGACATAGTATAGTGGCGGTATACTGCAGTTTTACCGGTTGATTACGGGTCGCGGTCCTCCCCTTGGCCGTGCAATCAATGCGTTTGCCCTCGGCCTATCACCGCGGTGCAGTTCATTAACCCGCAACTCCGGACCAAAACTGCACGTAGGTTTTTGTTTTATTTTAATTAATAAGTCTATCCGATCAAACCGATCTGCTTGCACTTGAGCGCCATAATTTTTCGCCACATTGTTGTGTTAGCCCGAGTTCGGCCCGACGCTTAATATATTGTAATCAAGTTTGCTCGTACAAATTGCCCACGTCAAACCCATTGTGCGCGCTCCAGTGGAAAACAAATACCGACGACAAAATATAAATCCATTGGGAAGAGAGGTTAAAATATAAAAAAAAAAACATCAAGGCATACACGCGGTTATCACATATATATACTAATTGCCCGTACTCGGCAAGTGAAACGTTATTTACATTAAGAATTATTTTTCGACGCCATAATTTTCTGCGACGGCCTCCCCCCTCCCCCCCCCCAATCCCTGTTTGGAGCATAATATAAAACCGCGAACAAGTTGTGTGTGAAAACGATTTGATTGCAAAGTTAGTAGCTATTTCGGGGGGAAGCGGCAAAAGTGTATTCGCCTCGGTATGGCCGAACTTTTTCATGATTTATGACCCCATCGGTTTTCTCTCGGTGAACGCGGAGGGCAAAACGGATTACCAATGTCAAATAGGGTTTACGGATGGCCGCACCAATACGGTTGACCTTCCCCCGTGTGTTATATTATGCGTGATAAATAAATTCGTGCGCGTTATTAAATTCATTGCAACTAACAGATTTCGTTTGAAATATTTTCTGTAATTGGACTATGCGACAGCCGATTACACGGTTGCACTCCGTTATGATATTTCCATAAACTACCCATCAGTTCAAACTAAACTGGCACTCAATTTCCAACGGCGTTTACCGATAGTTTACCAACGGGGTAAAAAGTACGCTGCCACTGTGACTCCAATACAAAACGTTTGTATCCGCTTTACTTAGCAGCGGTTAGTGGTGGTTACTGATCACACTATTAGAGTCTACAATTTATTATAATCAATACGGTGTATCGCGTATGGAAAAAGTATTGGACTTAAATGACAGACCCGAACAAACGAAAAACTATTTACATGATTTCCGAGTACTGACAAATATGGATTTTCGGTTTTAGTATACAAAGTTATTATAAAAACGATTTAAAATAAGTTACATGTGCGCGTAATGCTGCTTGCTATATTATCTCTGTTGTTGAATATAACACAGATTGCAAATTTCTGAAATTTCACTATATTGTGCTTACATGTGCATTATAAGTCATCGCTGTCAAACACTACAACAGCTATTCGAGTTAACATAGCGAGCTTCCAAGAAGAGCTCCTTCAGCAAATAATACACATTTTTTCGGTATAAAACCATTTATTAGCCAGCATACGTTGTGACGTACAATATATGACAGTATGCGACGTGTTCAAAATTTCTTAAGCGTTAATAAACATTGTTGGAAAATTATTAAAATTACTTAACTTACAAGTTAAAATCGTACTCAATCATACTCAATTAATACTAAAAAAAAAAAAGAAATAAAATAATACCAGTAATATAATATGTTATATTGTCACTATAGCAAGCGTATCGAAGGATATGAGAAGAGCTAAGCTTTTGCAGGTTTTACAGCTTTGAATAAAAATCGAATAGTATTTGTATAGCTACTAATGCACTTGAAAAATAATTAATTGATTATAATATTTTTTTTAAAAAGGGACAAAGACAAGAATCCAGAGGCAAAGCTAACCCTTATAAATAAAACGCGTATTGCCGCTGGCGTTATTTTTGTTTTAAGATTACTTTTTAAAGTATTAATGACGCACATTCAATCGTTAATTAACTTAAACGGTATTTTACAATTCTTCAACGGTGAATATTGTACATTCCTCAAAACTAAGTTTCGTACAAGTTTAAAACTAAATCCGGCCGGGAAACGATAATCGGTATTAACGTTAATTCGATTTACTTGGTACATTAATAACTGTTGCCGAGCAAATGGGTCGCATAACGAAAATCCAGTTAGCTGCACAATATGTACCGACATTACATAAAATACATAATATATACTATATGAATATTTACAGTGGTATGTGTACAACAACGTTATATTATTTATGTGCTCTCAAATATAATATATTATGCATGACGCGCAATAC